AATACCCCACCCTCCCTGGCCAGAGCCGGGCTCAGGGTGGCTAACACTAGTAAAATTACAATAAAAACATAATGGCATGTTCTCTCTCTAGCTTCACATCATTATGCTGGGGAGTAGATTGTGTTGGACTTGAACAAGAGACCCAGGTTCAGGATTCTGAGCTCACGGAGTTGTCTGCTGCGCTGGGTTGTGGGTCGGTCAGTTTCCTTTCTGACATACATCTAGAAACAATATTGGCCCCTGAGAACCGAAAAGCAAGACGAATGCAGGGGAAGAAGAATTGATTTCATGTCAGCATGGCTGCCTTTTCGCTTACCTCTTTTTACCAAAGTAATTACACCCGATTCGCTACGTGCGATAGCATCTCTGGGTACCGTCTCCGCTTTTGTTTTGCTCCACATGTTGCACTTGCTTGCAGGTGACCCTGCCAGTTGTAAAGGGCCTGTCTGTGTATCTCCTGCGCCTTTCATTTGAAGCACACTAGGGAGCGCTAGCTGGACGCCAGAGATTGGTCAGCAGCAATTCACCCTGCTGTAACATGGTGGAGGGGGTCATTACCGTATTTTTCGCTCTATAGGACGCACCGGACCATAGGAGGGGGGAAACGGGGGGGGGGATTCTCCCCCTCCCTGCTCAGCGCCCCTTCAGCAAAGCGGCAGGAGAAACGGGGCCCTTTCCATTTCTCCTCCCGCTTCACTGAAGGGGCACTGCGCAGAAAGGGAAAACTGTGCAGCGCCTCTCCAGCAAAGCGAAGCCTGGAGCGCAGGAGGGATGGGTGTGCACCGACCCCTCTCGCTCTCTAGGCTTCAGGCGGCTATCCGCAAGCCTTCGGAGCGCAGCAGGAACTCCTGCTGCTCTCCGAAGGCTCGCGAATAGCTGCCTGAAGCCCCCGGAGCGCAGTGGGAATTTGCGCTGCACTCCAGAGGCTTCAGGCGGCTATCCGCAAACCTTCGGAGCGCAGCGGGAACTCCTGCTGCGCTTCAAAGGTTTGCGAATAGCTGCCTGAAGCCCACGGAGTTCCCACTGCGCTCCGGGGGCTTCAGTCGGCTTCAGCGAAAGCAATGTGAAGCCTCCGGAGCGCGGGGGGAGCTCTCCCTCTGCGCTTCGGAGGCTTCGCATTGCTATCGCTGAAGCCAAGGAGCCGGATTCACTCCATAGGACGCACACACATTTCCCCTTAATTTTTGGAGGGGGAAAAGTGTGTCCTATAGAGCGAAAAATACGGTATTTAACTTATTGCTTGCCTTTTGCCCTAAGATGCAGGGGTGGTTTACAACAATTTAAACCACCCAGTTCAACACAGTTTAAATCAGAGGTCGGCAAATTAAGGCCTGCGGGGCGTATGCGGCCCGCTGGGCTCATTAATCCGGCCCACGAACCTTGCAGACCCTGCCGCCCGCTAGGTCAGTCCCTAAACCGGTGCGGAGCCTGACTTCTGTGGCACGGCTTCTGATTGGCTGCTGAAGACAAGGCGGCTTCGGCGTGAGTGGCGGTGGCGGGCGGTCCTTTTGGGAGGGGGTACTTTGGGGAAAGGGTGGGTCTTTGCTGACCCCCAGTTTAAATCAACTAACAATCACCAAAATAGGATGCGTCCTAAAAAACATTGTATTAGGTATCAAGGCCAGGTAGAGAGTGTTCCTGAAACCTTTCTTTGAAAGGAGTCCCAGGCAGCAGACAACAAGCAATAAAGCGATGAACACATTAAAAAAGGAGAAAACTTTCAAGCATCTTTAAAAAACAACAATCCCAGTACTGATGCAGAGCGGGGAAGATCTCTACTATGAGGCTTGCTGAGAGTGAAAGGTCTTCAGCTGGCACTGAAAAACAACAGAGATGTCACCTGTCTAATAGTCAAGGGGAGGGGAGTTCCAAAGGCTAGGCGCCATGACACTAGGACCCTCGTACCTACGGGACTGTATGCCCCACAGAGAGCCTCAAGGTCCATAAATAGCAACACCCTAGTGGTCCTGGGTCCTAAGGAAGTTAGATTAGCCTCAACCAGAGCCAGGGCCTTTTCAACTCTGGCTCCAGCCTGGTGGAACGCTCTGTCTCATGAGACTAGGGCCCTGCAGGATCTGATTTCTTTCCGCAGGGCCTGTAAGACAGAGTTGTTCCACCTGGCCTTTGGCTTGGAGTCAATCCGATTCCCTCCCCCCTCTTTCTTCCTTCCTTCCTTCCTTTCTCTTCCTGTGATGAGGCTGCATTTTAATGTTTTAATGTTGTATTTTAATCTTGTTTTTAAGTTGTATTCATTCAACTTGTTTTTATTCTTGGTTGTTAGCTGCCCTGAGCCCGGCCTTGGCTGGGGAGGGCGGGGTATAAATAAAATTATTATTATTATTATTATTATTTTATTATTATTAAGACCCAATTCCCACATTGTTTGAAGCGGACCTCCATTGTTTGCTGGAGGCCCTCACTTGCAGAGTACAGTGGGTATATAAGAGGTGAGCCGATTTTCCATGGTCCCAAGCAGTCTAGGACTTTGGCCGTTCCAGCCGCAGCTCTCCTGTGGATTCAGCTGGTGGCAGTTTCAGCTGTGCAGCTTCGTTCTGAACAGTTGCCACCCGGCCATATCGAGGGTGTCAAACCAGGTCCTACGGCCCTGCGCGACTGAGCTTCACTTTCACTGGGACGTTGCGGTGGCGTCAGGGAAGGAGCCCTCGGAGGAAAAGCTCTCGCGCCACTGCGGTAACATCTAAAGGGCACTTTTGTTACGAAACGCTCCGAGGCAAGGAAGATGGATGTGATGTGTAGTAAAAAGACAGCAGCGAATTAGTCATCGCGGCAGTGCATTTGCCTTTCCTTTTTTAAAAAAAAGCAGCAGCAAAAAGAACCGCCCCCCAAATCTACAGTCAAGAACCTTCGCATGAGAAGCCAAGTGCGCATTTCTTCCTTTGACTTGGCTGCGTCCTCATTAGAATTCTGTGTGCCGTTGCTGGTTCTATAAATAACGCTCAAAAGAGACGTTTGATTGCCAGAATCCTGTGCACCCCACAGCCTCCTCAATGGCATGGGCTTTACATACTATTAGCGAATCGTCGGCATCTCCGGCATTAACTGCAACCATTTTTAATTAACCTGATTTAGTAGCAGAATTGCAACGCTGATGAAAATGAGAGGTTGGAACAAATAGTTATTTATTCCAGCACAGTGGTAGTGTCTGTTGAAATAGATGATTCTAATTAACTTCAAGGAGGAGGCTTCATAAATTTATAAAGGGGAGGCAAAGATCCCAGACACGTCCCATAGCTACTCAGGATGCCCATGGAGTTGGGTAGAAGAGGGGTCACATCCTGCAAGCACTTCTGTGGGGCGGGTGATTGCTTTCCTAGTCGTCCAGTGGCTGCATTTTAATAGGACTTGGGCTTTGTCTACTCACCTGAAAAGTGCTTTGGTTATTGGGCAAGAAGAACTGGTGGCGGACTGGGCAGAAGACTTTGAAGAGCATCGTCTGTCCCCCTACAATATGCCCCTTTTGCTGCTTCCACCTTTCAGGGGAACAGAACCAGGAGCCACACTAGTTCAGCATTGGGACTGAAAACATCTGGCTCAGCAAACTTTTTCAGCAGGGGGCCGGTCCACTGTCCCTCAGACCTTGTGGGGGCCTGACTATGTTGGGTTTTTTTTTTGGGGGGGGAGGAATGAACGAATTCCTATGTCCCACAAATAACCCAGAGATGCATTTTAAATAAAAGCACATATTCTGCTCATGTAAAAACACCAGGCAGGCCCCACAAATAACCCAGAGATGCATTTGAAATACAGTGGAACCTCGGGTTACATATGCTTCAGGTTACAGACTCTGCTAACCCAGAAATAGTACCTTGGGTTAAGAACTTCGCTTCAGGATGAGAACAGAAATCATGCTTCGGTGGCGCAGCGGCAGCAGGAGGCCCCATTAGCTAAAGTGGTGCTTCAGGTTAAGAACAGTTTCAGGTTAAAAATGGACCTCCAGAACGAATTAAGTTCTTAACCCGAGGTACCATTGTAAAAGCACACATTCTAATCATGTAAAAAACACCACAAATAACCCAGCCCCACAAATAACCCAGAGATGAATTTAAAATAAAAGGGCACATTCTGCTCATGTAAATACATGCTGATTCCTGGACTGTCTGTGGGCCGGATTGAGAAGACGACTGGGCCAGATCTGGCCCCCGGGCCTTAGTTTGCCTACCCATGATTCTGGCTGCTAAGTATAAGTGGTGATGGGGGGCTGTTTTGGCAGCAGGAAGAAGAGTTCCTTGTAACTTCTCTCCCCCCCCCCCAGCCTCCAATATCCTTTGCCTCTGAGGGCTTTAGCAGCAGTCATGGTTGGAGTATGTAGTAAACTGGGGAGGGGACCCTGAAGAACACCCCCCAGCATGGTTGAATACTATCAGCGGCACCTGGTTTTCTGGATTCCTTCGGGCCAAAACAAATTATATGTAAAGTGTATTATTGTTGTTTTCCTGTATCTGTTGATGTTTTTTAAATCACAGTAGTGAGGGGGTTTTTTTTGGGGGGGGGATCACAATGAGGACCGTGGTGTGTGTCTGTTTGTGAGGGGGGGGTAGAGAGGGAAGAAATGGGATAGTTAAAACTTTCCCCCTCTGCTCAGTCCTAATGAAAATCTCCTTTTCACAGCTGCTATTTCTCCCTAGGAGAAAACTTCACCAAACATTCTGATTTTGTTATCATGGACCACTTGTGAGAACTGTTAGGGTTGAAAAGATGTATACAGGTGTCATAATTATTTTTTTAAAATCCTCATTTTTTGCACATGAAGTATTTTAGAAACCGGGGGCAATTGTCAGGTAAGGGGCTATTTGTATATCTTTATGTTTCATTGCCTTTTGGAGAAAGGTAGGAGGTGGTGCAGAATCTGAGTCCCTGGCTAGTTCTCCTGCTGACCTGCCATCCTTTTATTGCTTTTAATGGCTGCATTCTCTCTCTCTTTGCACAGATATTTGCTGTTTGACTTTCCCCCAGCTAAAGTACCTCATCTCTCTTCTCAGGTTATCCTGCTGGATATCCCACGGCTGCCCCTACCTACAACCCAAATATGTACCCGACCACCAGCCCAGGCTATGCCCCAGGTAAATGGAGATTTCTATTTTTCTGTTAGCCACATTTGGCGGTATGTACTTCCTTGTTTGTAAGCCACACGTTGTGGCTCTTGTGTCTGTGTGTTTTTCATCAGATCTTTCATTCTCTCAGCACCATTAACAGACTTGCCATTATCCACACGTCTTTTTTTACAAAATGTCAGGTGCTTTCTCAGTAAGAAGTGCATGCACTCTGTAGGTTAACCAAGTATACATGGCAATTCTGCCTGGTTTCTTTGATCACTGGTTGTCTGTCATACCTTGGGTTACAGACGCTTCAGGTTGTGCGTCTTCGGGTTGCGCACTGCGCCGAACCCAGAAGTACCGGAACGGGTTACTTCCGGGTTTCGACGCATGCGCAGAAGCACTAAATAGCACTACAGTGGTGCCTCGCAAGACGAAATTAATTCGTTCCGCAAGTCTCTTCGTCTTGCGAGTTTTTCGTCTTGCGGTGCACGGTTTCCCATAGGAATGCATTGAAAATCAATTAATACGTTCCTATGGAAACCGCCTTCAGACCAGGTCCGGGGACAGTCTGTCCCCCGACCTCTTCTGAAGGCTGGGGCGGGGGATAAGGGCTTTTCTTCCCACCCCAAGCATTTTAAAAAACCCCGGGACAGCGGAGGACTTCTCCGCTGTCCGGGGCGTTCTTAAAATGCTGGCGGGCGGCATTTTAAAATCGCCCCGGGACAGCGGAGGACTTCTCCGCTGTCCGGGGTGATTTAAAAGCCCCTGGGAAGGCAGGCAGGGGGGACAAAGACTTTTGCCCCCCGCCAGCCTTCAGAAGAGGTCCAGGACCTTCCGCCTTCCGAAGCCCGGCGGCGGGAGGAGGTGTCCCCGCCCCGCCGCCAGGCTTCGGAGGAGGTCGGAGGACAGTGGGGAAGACGCGCTGCGCTTCCCCGCTGTCCCGGAGATTTCCCTATGCGCTGTCGTCTTGCGAAGCAAGCCCATAGGGAAATTCATTTTGCGAAGCGCCTCCAAAACGGAAAACCCTTTCGTCTAGCGGGTTTTCCGTCTTGCGAGGCGTTCGTCTTGCGGGGCACCACTGTATGCACAGAAGCGCCGAATCACAACCTGCACATGCGCCGACACGGCGCTGCGGGTTGCGAACGTGCCTCCCGCACTGATCATATATGCAACCCGAGCGTCCACTGTATTCTGAAAATGGGCAGCAGAAATGTACAAATGCAGTTGAAAAGTGCCATAATTTGGTAGTAGTTCAGTGTAGACAGCTAGATGGACCAATGGTTTGGGTCAGTACAAGGCAGCTTCCTTAGTTCCATGATCTAGCTTCCATTGAAGCAGGGTGTGGGAGGGTCTACCCCCCAAGAAAAAGTGTCTAAGAAAGGGTAAAGATTGGGAACCACCGATACTAAGCTTTAAATTACAGACGTCCAGAAAAATGTTGTTCCCTGCATTATTCTTGCACATTCTTACAAGTGGCAAGACCTTACAGAGAAGTCAAGTGAACTGAATTACTCAAAATGGATTCTGATTTGAAGCTATATATAGTAACCATATTTTTTAAAAACACTTCATTTGGCTCATTTGCATATGAGAACTTTCTAAAAGGTGTGAGCGCCTTTCCTCCTACAAATATGCGTTTTAAAAGGGAGATTTTAACCTATATTTTCCTGTATTTCTGTGCTTGCTGGAAAGAGATGCAAAGCATGTTAAAGCAATTCATACAATATTGATCAAACAAACTTAATGTGAGCCCGACTGTCAGGAAATCTTGTTCTAACCTTTTAGCCCAGGGGCCCAAAATGTGTGTGTCAGGAACTTTTGCAGACAGAATGAATGTTTGATAAAATTGCCTATATTTTAATAAAAGATGGGTAGAGAATCCTTCCACCTCCAGCAGCTCCCTTAATTAAAACCTAATTCCTCTTTAGGTTTCTTGCTTTCTGTGGAGGTTTTTTTTTGAGGGGCGGGTATCTGCTTTGTGATTTCCATATAAGTGTACATTTAATTTCCACAGGGGCCAGTTCCTCCTAGATTCATTTCTATTAATAATACAGCAGATGATAATGCAGGTCATCCATTATATCAGCTCCCACCCAGAAGAGATGTTTGCTAAACTTCAACCACAAAATTGGCTGCGATTGGCTTGAGGTTTCCTTCTCTCTCCATTGCACGAGCTCCCCCCTGTTTGATACTGCATCAATAATAATAATATTATAATAATTTTTTATTTATACCCTGCCCTTCCCGGTTTAAAAACCGGGCTCAGGGCGGCTAACAGCAAATATAAAACATTGATTAAAATGTGACTTTAAAACAGCATAAAATACAACATAAAATGCAGCATCATATCAATAAAATTCAAAATTCAGGGGTCATGGGGCGGGGGGACAAAACCCCAGTCAGTAGACATCAAATGATCACCAGGGCTAACTGGCCAAATTGGTCCTACTAAGGCCAGCAAGACCAGGGAAGAATTTAAATGTGGGGTCCCAGAAAGGATTTCTTCATAGAAGAAGAAAGGGAATAGAGGATCATTCCCTAATTCAGATTGAAGGCCAGGTGGAATAGCTCTGTCTTACAGGCCCTGTGGAAGGAAATCAAGTCCTGCAGGGCCCTAGTCTTGTGGGACAGAGCATTCCACCAGGTCGGAGCCATCACTGAAAAGGCCCTGGCCCTGGTGGAGGATAGTCTGGCTTCCTTAGGGCCCGGGACCTTTAAGCTGTTATTACTCATGGACCTTAGGGTCCTCTGTGGGACATACCAGGAGAGGCAGTCCCGTATGTACGAGGGTCCTAGGCCACATAGGGCTTTAAAGGTCCAAAGCAGCACCTTGAACCTGACCCTGTACTCCACTGGGAGCCAGTGCAGCTGGTATAGCACTGGGTGAATATGCTCCCATGGCAGGGACCCCGTGAGGAGCCTCGCTGCAGCATTCTGCACTCGCTGGAGTTTCTGGGACAGTTTCAAGGGCAGCCCCATGTAGAGCGAGTTACAGTAGTCAAGCCTGGAGGTGACTGTTGCATGGATCACTGTGGCCAGGTTGGGGCGGGAAAGGGAAGGGACCAACTGATCCCAACTGATGATGGTTTTGAAGGGACGCGGGTGGCGCTGTGGGTTAAACCACAGAGCCTAGGACTTGCCGATCAGAAGGTTAGTTGTTCGAATCTCTGCGACGGGGTGAGCTCCCATTGCTCCGTCCCTGCTCCTGCCAACCTAGCAGTTTGAAAGCACGTCAAAGTGCAAGTAGATAAATAGGTACCATTCCGGCGGGAAGGTAAACGGCGTTTCCGTGCGCTGCTCTGGTTCGCCAGAAGCGGCTTAGTCATGCTGGCCACATGACCCGGAAGCTGTACGCCGGCTCCCTCGGCCAGTAAAGCGAGATGAGCGCCGCAACCCCAGAGTCGGCCACGACTGGACCTAATGGTCAGGGGTCCCTTTACCTTTTCTTTCAATGGCACTGAGGCCTTTGGCTTGCTGCTGCCCTTCCTCAGATAAGGCCACCATAGTAATAGCAGGACCAGCACAAGCCAAGTAGTCTCCATAGTGCTTACAGGAGCATCTTCCAGGCTTGTTGGCTTCCTGCATTTCTGATACAGTCTTCAGTCTGCAAACCATGCTGGTATTTTTTTTCCCTACCAGCGTTGTAAGATTTTTATTTTCTTTTGAGACAGGCACTTGGGGCCAGGATTAAGCTTTTAATTGGGGGTGAGGATTTGTGACATGTTATGCTTAGTGTGATGTTTATATATTTGTATTGCACCCGAAGCCCTAAGGAAGGAATATACCCAAAGTTGAAATAAATTGGCTCATTTGAACTTTTGTCAACTCGTTCCTTAGGGCTTGGGGAGGAACATGCTTGTCTAGAGTTAACTCATTAAAAATACCTTTGCTTAGTCCTGGTTTGACTCCCCGGTGAGCAGTTCCATCCGTGATGGATGTGGAGCTTCCACAATTGAGTGTGATTTACCTGAAATCGGTGGTTTAGTAGAATCTCAAAGGCCCCTTGACATTTCTTTAGAGGCATTCGTTAACTTTATTTATTAATTGGTTATGTTTATATCCCAGCTTTTGTCCAAGGAGCTCAAGGTGGCATACATGATCCTGCCCCCTCATTTAATCCCCTCAACAACCCTGTTAGGTGGGGTAGGCTGAGAGGCAGCGACTGGCCCGAGGTCATCCAGCTATCTTCATGGCCAAGTGGCAATTTGAACCCTGGTGTCTCCCAGCACCAAATCTGACACTCTAACCCAGCGGTTCTCAACCTGCAGGTCCCCAGATGTTGTTGGACTACAACTCCCATCATCCCTAGCTCAGGGATGATGGGAGTTGTAGTCCAACAACATCTGGGGACCCACAGATTGAGAACCGCTGCTCTAACCACTACACTACATTGACTCTGAATTTACTGAATTTTTAAAAATATACAGCTGCCCCGTAACACAAGATCTCTGGGAAGCACCTGAGCCTCTAGACCAGGGTGGGAAACCTGTGGCTCTCTTGATGATGTTGAAGTATGGTTCCTTGATGCCATACCATCCTAGCTGGGGCTGATGAGTGTGTGATGGTGTTTGTCTGTTCCACCAGTATTTCTTGCTAAAACTGGGCTGCCAGTTGTCTTGTGGCTATTCGTCTCCACCTTTCAAACCAGCCATTAGCTCAACTGCTGTGATGTCCTGGAATGTGACTTCTTACACCTAAGAGGGAATTATGAGAAACGAGGGCAGTGGAAGAGCAGTTTGTCTGGAGAAAACCTTCACTTGGGGTTTAGGGGGATGGCGTTGCAGGTTTAGGACAGACAAAGTAGCTTTGAATATGGGGGAACTATAGTGAGGTGGGGGGAAATGATATTTGAGTGTGGGTGGCTGAATTTCATATATTGATTTTTAACTAGCCAGCCAAATCTTTGACTGCAGGTCTCTAGTGGTGTATATCTATATTCCATTCTCCTTGCTGTGTATAAACAAAGGCAGTTGCCTTAACACAGGACTATTTAAAGAAAGCCATGCATGAAATAACTTCTTCCC